TTTCTCTTTTGGTTTTATTATCAGATGCAGAGAATTAGACACTCGTTTAAAATTGTCAACTTAGGATTATTCTATCTTTTTTTGGTGACAGAATCCCTTAAAATTATGTAGTGAGTGAATGTTGCCTGCATCTTTTTTATTCTTCCTTAGGTAGCAGTTTTAAAGTCTTTGGTATTTTTAGATCTTTATTTAGCTGTGTATTTTGTGTTTAAGGTGATATACCTAAAAGATAAAGCTAATATTTTAAATTTGAATAATTTATATCTATTGTGACCCCTTTCTAAAGGTGTTTTATCAGAAAGTGTCTTGTCCTGTGTGTTGTTTACTCTCCCTCCCAAAAATCTTCTTCCTTTGTCCTTACTTTTTTACCTACTTACTTGTTGGGTTTTTACTTTCAGTTACATGGTTTTTTTCCCCCAAAGTTTTAATTTTGGCTTATAGATTCTCATTGCTTTCTGTATAATCGCTTGTTCCTTCTTCCATGGTTCCTCAAACATTCATTCTTGTTAATACCAATATTGAGTTTTCTGTGGATGGTCTTAATGTCTGTCGTTTTGTCTTGCTCATCGTGTTCCTTGAGTACACCCACATCCACACCCACACCCACACACACCTTATTTTCCTTGGCAAATAAGAATAATTTTAATTTGGAGCTTAGATTGAAATCCTTGAAACCAGTGTATGTGCTTCAGACACCCAGAGGCCACTTTAAATTAAAACCGCCTCCTCAGTGGTGAAGACATTTTAAAGCCATTTATTTTACATTACTTCTTTTGTTATTCAGCACATTTGGAATTTTTAGCAGGAGTTGTTGCAGTTAGGCAGTTTGGAAGGTGAAGTCTACATTGGAATTTTGCCTGGGTCATGTTAGCGTATGTAGCTGGCTTTCCTTTGTCCTGTCCTGCAAGGCAGCACTTTCACAGTGTGGAACTGCTACCCTTAGAGGTAGGGAAATCCGTAGACACCTTTTTCTTTTGGTCGGTCATGGGGCTTGAACTCTGGGCTTGGGTGCTGTCCCTGAGCTCCTCAGCTCAAGGCCAGCCCTCTACCATTTGAGCCACAGTGCCACTTCTGGTTTTCTGGTGGTTAACTGGAGAGAAGAGAGTCGTGGACTTTCCTGCCCGGGCTGGCTTTGAACCATCGTCAAGATCTCAGCCTCCTGCGTAGCTAGCATTACAGGTGTGAGCCACAGGCGCGTGGCTGAAAGAAACCATTTTAAAAAGATATATTCTTCCTCAGAAGAATGGCTCTGCCACTTACTTAAACAGTCCTAATATTACTCATTTGATCCTAAAGATTATCTTATTCAAAGTTGACTTAGCTTTGCTTATTTTATTTGCCAGCATCTTGTGTTGATACTGTCCCCCCAAAAATTCCTAGGCTCAAGCAATCCTCCTGCTTTAGCCTTCTAAGTAACTGGGACTACAGGAATGTACCACCATACCCAACTGGATGTTTTCTTATAAATCTAGTATTGAGAATTACAGATGTATGAAAGATCCTCTTTGAACACTGGCCCTGGATGACTTTGCCTAGCAACTTTTCAATGGACACCTATTCAAGGTTCAGAAATACTAAAGAAAGATGTACTCTGGGGGCTGGGAAGGTGGCTCAGTGGTAGAGCGCTTGCCTTGCATGCCTGAGGCCCTGGGTTTGATTCCTCAGCACCACATAAGCAAAAAAAAAAAAAAAAAAGCTGGAAGTGGCGCTGTGGCTCAAGTGGTAGAGTGCTAGCCTTGAGCTGAATAGCTGAGGGACAGCACCCAGGCCCAGAGTTCAGGCCCCACAACCGGACCCCCCCCCCAAAAAAAGAAAAATGCCAGAAGTGGTGCTGTGGCTCAAGTGGTAGAGCGCTAGCCTTGAGCTGAAGAGCTGAGGGACAGCGCCCAGGCCCAGAGTTCAGGCCCCACGACTGGACCCCCCCCCCCAAAAAAAAAGATGTACTCTGAAAAGTAAGCCCACAGTATAAAGTTATCAAATTAAGACAAATATGTTAAATTTGCTCTTAGAAGACAATCAGGAAAACTTAAATTATGCCTGAAAGTGGTAAACATCATGCCATGGTGTCACTGTTCAATAATCTCAGCGTGTGTTTGTAAACGATGGAGGAACTGCTGATTAACATGCAGTATGCACTCTACAAACCAGTGTGTGGCCATCAAGCTTCTACTGACTTGGCATACCTACTGGCACTAACTTTGGCCAAGGAGTTCCTCACAATACATTGCCCCGTGCAGCAATCTATTTAGTAGGCAGTTTTGAATAGGGAAGCGACCACTATACTATTAGCCAAGCTTTTATCCTACAGACTTCTTGTGGCCAATGACCTAAAGCAATTCTATTTCATAAGTCCCTAAAATTGGGTACAAAAACAGTCTTGAAAGGACTAAGTGGCTATAGCAATCTGTGTATATACCCCTCCTCATGTTTTACCCTGCATCACTTGACTCAAAGTGTATTTTATCACTTTTAATCTAAAGCAACCAATATTGTCTTGCTGATCAAGTCGTAACTTTCTATGAGAGCAATTCATTATATTTAAAAATCTTGTAAGAGTTCATTCTTGGCAAATGGTTAAATGATTTCATTTTCCTACCTAATTGCTACTGCTGTAGATAGAAATTCTTTTTGGGTCTGGTCATGGGGCCTGAACTCTGGGCCTTGGCGCTGTCCCTCAGCTCTTCAGCTCAAGGCTAGCGCTCTACCACTTGAGCCACAGCGCCACTTCCGGCTTTTTCTTTTTGCTTATGTGGTGCTGAGGAATCGAACCCAGAGCCTTGAGCATGCAAGGCAAGTGCTCTACCACGGAGCCACCTTCCCAGCCCCTAGATAGAAGTTCTTTTAGGAAGGGACCTCACATCCTTAGCTGTACTCTTTGGCCCATTAGGGCAATCTGGAAGACAGGCAACAAGGGGCATGTTTTCTTTTTTCTTTCTGTCGGTTGTGGGGCTTGAACTCTGGGCCTGGGTGCTGAGGCTAGTGCTCTTCCACTTGAGCCACAGTGCTACTTCCGGTTTTCTGGTAGTTTACTGGAGATGTCTCAAGGCCTTTCCTGCCTGAGCTGGCTTTGAACTGTGATCCTCAGATCTCAGCCTCTTGAGTAGTTAGGATTACAGGCATGCAGCTCCCAGCTGCTATAAGGGGCATGTTTTCAAAGAAAGGAAAACATTACAGATAGTTCACTATAGGAGGGAAAGAAATACAGTTTTAACACCATTATACTAAACTTCCCATTAGGGAAGTAGCACTTAAAAGTAAAATCATCTTGTCTGGTTGACACAAGCTACTTGAGTTGTCCCTTCTCCCAAGACTTAAGGCTAGAACCTACTTCTCTCCTAGATTTTCAAAAAGCTCTTATCTACAGAATTATAAAAAGCATTTTAGGAGTTCTGGGGGAGTAGTCATAACAAATGCATCACAGGCCAAGCACTAAGCCAACACACTCTCTCATCTCCATGAATGACAGTATACCCCAGACAAAGGCCAAGTTTGTTCCCCATATGAGGATAAAGACCATGCAAGCCAAAGCTGACCCAGTGTTACCTCATCTAGAATTTTAATTACTATTACTAGCAACTTGTTAAGTTTAAATTTTTGTTTTGGAATATACTAATTCAACATTTAAAACTGTTCCTTTTAATTCTCATAAAAACTCAATCTTAAAAGCGGTTTTTATAATAGAATGTAAGTCTGAAACCTAAGACCAGGTGCTTTTCATCAGCTACCTGGATCAAGTAAACGAGATTTCAAAATAGTATATATGTTAAGTATCAAAGCCCTAACATTCTGCATATCTGGTAACCCAGAAATTTTATCTCTAAAAATTTATTTCAAGAAAAGTCGTGAATATACACAAGAAATCGGTAAATGGCTGTTTGTAACTGTGAAAAGATATGTCCAGTAAATGATTAAATAAATTATGATTCAGTCATATAACACAATAAAAATAAAACCAGTAAAAATAATGCAGAAGACTATGCATGACCTGGGAAAGATGTTCACAATATATTGTTAAGTGAAAAAAGCAGGTTACAAAACAGTGTGCACAATATGAGCTCATTTTTATAAAAATATACATATTTAGCAAAGTAAAAGGACAAATGATATTTATCAAAATATTAACATTGGTTATTTCAACATAAAATGATGATTAGATTTTGCTCTGAACTACCCTCTCCTTTTTTATCCTATGTGTATTCTTCTCTAGTAAGATCACTTTTGAAAAGTGGATGGCAAGTGAGGGAGAACAGCCTTGGGACAGCCCACAGATGCCTCAAGGCTCCTTCTGGCCAAAGTGGATGTTTCTGGAAATTGCTTCTACCTTATACATTTGAATGTATATCTGACATCCACTTCCTTTCAAGAAAAATAGCCATTTCTGACACTCAAAAACAAAGACAAACCCTCAGGTTAATTATCAAAAAGAATAAATGAGAAAATACAAATCCTCACTTTTAAAAAAGGAACAGTCCAAGTACATACTACTAAATTATACAAAGTTGCATTATCTAAGATTTTTGTTTATTGCAGAGATGAAAACAGCACACTTAAAGAGGTGGAGGCTTCTTTTCCCACCATTCATTGCACTCACTCTGGTCTCTGGGTCACTCACTCACTCATGCCAAAATCTACACACAGTGATGATGTTCACTGTTCTTAGTTCCCAGGGTATTATAGGAAACCTGACATTTTAATTAAAAAATAAAATGAGTAAGGACATTTACTATCTGACTAAAAAAAATCCTCAGGAAGAGGACACGATAATACTTGAAGATGCTTTGGAAAACAAAAAGGGGAGAAACTGAAGAGTTCTAATACTCATAGTAACAAAACTCAGAAATGATTCTAGTGTTAACACAAGTTCCAGGCACAATGAACGGTGCAAACACTGCGAGTGGGCATCAAGTTTAAAGGGCAACTGATCTGCTTCTGAATTTACACTTCCTCAATTACATTTTTAAAAAAAATGTTGCTGCTGCTTAAGCTATGAATATTTTAACAAAAAAAAGTAATCTCAATAAATACAGCATATACTAAAAATCTAGCTAGGCTACCATGCACGATATTATATGGCCAAGACAAACTCAAATTTATAAGAAAGGCAACTTGCATTCAAAATGAGCTCTACCCTTCTATTTTTATTAAAAGGGCAAACATCATGAATTAACCCAGCTGCTTACTTGAATTACAAAATAACATGATTCAATATGAAAATAAGAAACTGTCTACAAATCTCTGACAGTAATAAATTGCAATATACAATGCATACAGGCGTCATACAGAGCAACAAACTCTCGTACAAAACAAAAATATTTTAATACCTTTAAAATCCAAATTTTTCTTTAAAATTATTCATGAAAAAGATTCTCAAGTCAGAATTAACACCTCAATTACTCAAGCATCAGGAAGCTACATTACAGCTACTTAATGTACAAAGAGACATCTTTTCACAGTCATCGCCCTCTACTGCCTCTGTTCCAGAACTGTACACTCGCTCCACTATGTACCTACTCCACCATATCTTCAGATCAGGAAAACTGAATTTGTTGAACTCCAGAGATCTAAGATCAGAAAATTAAAAAGTACATGGAATTAAAAAGAAGTATAAAACAACACATGTATTACAAATACTTGTGGAATAAAAATACTAAGTCTACTTGTTATCCTAGATCTCCACTCTCCCTCTGGCCACAGGAGCTACTTTAATAATTCCTTATGTAACTTCCTAGAAATCTCCTGTACAAATATTAAACACATGTAAATATAAATGGTCTGCACATATGCTGTGACCATTAAGGGAATTCTATACAATTTATAAAGAAGATGGAGATAGTAATACCCTTTTACTTTTATCAGGTCCTTAATAATAACAATACGATGTTAAAATTAATTTGTGAGGAAAAAACATCACTGAGTAGAATTTTTAAAACTTGAAAATACAAGGTTGGCGCTGTACCTGTTGATAAGACGTTGTGTAAACCATGACATTCTGTTGCTGACCATCTGCAGTTATTAAGCCAGCTGGCAACTGGTTAGCTAAGACAAAAGAGGAAAATGAGTGCATATACTTTCGTGGTCTGAACCTTAAGGTTTAAGGCCACCAATGTTTCATTACAATTCTACTACCACCAATACTACAATTTAGGTTAAATGATAAACTCTCAAAAATTTCTATTCAAAAACAATTTCCAAGCTCAGGAATAGCACCCAGACCTTGAGTTCAAACCCTATGACCAGTGAACACACACAGATACCCAAATCCCTAGAAGGTATTTTTTTCTACTGTGCTTTTCAATAGTCTGTATCTTCACATTTCTAAAGTGATTTTTAGCAACTGCTCATGTTTAGAAATCTGTTTATTTATGATTAGACAAGGCTTGGCCAGCAGAGACATAAAACTAGGCTGGAAGTTAGTCAGAACACCAGTGAAAGGCTGTCTTTTTAATTTTTTTTTTTTGGTCGGTTGTGGGGCTTTAACTCTGGGCCTGGGCACTGTCCCTGGGCTCTTAAGCTCAAGGTGAGCGCCCACCTCTTGAGCCATAGCACCACTTCCAGTTTTCTAGTGGTTTATTGGAGATAAGAGTCTCATGGACTTTCCTTCCCTGGGCTGGCTTTGAACCATGATCCTCAGATCTCAGCCTCCTGAGTAGCTAGGATTACAGGCGTGAGCCACTGGCGCCCGGCGAAAGGCTGTCTTGAGTTAAGATTTTTCTACATTATGCAGTGACTTCAAATGTTAGAGTTTGACTACGAAGAATCATTCAGAACGATGCTATGTCAAAATGTTCAGTGCAGACAGTCCTAAAGGACACTGCAGACATGCAGCATGGCATCACTTGTTGACAACACTATTTAATACTTACTAAATGCCTCCTCGGTGAGCTCCTCACTTAGTCCATCTGTGGCTGTAACTGCTCCTCCAATGCCCTTCTCTCCTTTCATAGCCTGAGAAAGGAAAGCGAACATACAAGCATCCAAATTTAACTTTGCCAGATGAGAATACTGCCTAAAACTAGGAGCTTCATTATAAATGTGAATTACAAATGAAGAGGCCGTACTAACTTTTTATCATTACAAGACAATGTTTTTAGTAATGACCAAGAAAATCTGAAGCATTTATGGATTTAAAAAAATAGATTATTGTGGGCTGGGAATATAGCTTAGTGTGGTAGAGCGCTTGCCTAGCATGCACGAAGCCCTGGGTTCGATTCCTCAGAACCACATAAACAGAAAAAGCCAGAAATGGCTCTGTGGCTCAAGTGGTAGAGTACTAGCCTTGAGCAAAGAAGATCAGGGACGGTGCCCAGGCCGCGTTCAAGCCCCAGGACTGGCCAAAAAAAAAAAAAAAAAGATTATTTTAATTCCACATCACATCAAAGGGATAACAGAACTCTATTTACAGAGTTGAAGTCTGTAACGTGTAAATCAACTTGCAGATCTACAAAGGATCCAAGTTATATAGCTCACTGACACATACAGACACAGACATTCTTATTCCTCAGCCAACTGGAAAGCAGCAAGTTTAACTTTAAAATTCCTAAATTACAGTTTGGACCACTAAAGTGCCATCTATTCAAAGTTTTTACGATACTGAAGGTTTAGAAAGGTATTGTGAGGGGCTGGGAATATGGCTTAGTGGTAAGAGTGCTTGCCTAGCATGCATGAAGCCCTGGGTTTGATTCCTCAGTACCACATAAACAGAAAAAGCCAGAAATGGTGCTGTGGCACAAGTCGTAGAGCACTAGCCTGAAGTAAAGAAGCTCAGGGACAGTGCCCAGGACCTGAGTACAAGTCCCAGGACTGGTAAAAAAAGGAAAAAAAGAAAGGTATTGTGGTACATTTACACATTCTCTCCTAGCTTTAATAGTTCTGTGAAAACAACTCTACCATTAAAGATATTCAGAATGTATTCAAAGGAATATGAATCTAACAACCAAGTTGAAGTATAGAAATAAGACGTGACCTCAATTCATTTCACAAAATTATACCCATAGGCAAAGATAACCCAATAGGAAATATAGAAGAATTGAATCAACAATAAATAAGGGCAATGGTTATAATTTTCTCATTTTATTTTTTAAAAAGTCTTGGGTTCAGGCTGGGAAGGTATCTCAGTGGTAGAGTGCTTGCCTTGCATGCATGAGGCCCTGGGTTCGATTCTTTAGCACCACATAAGCAGAAAAAGATGGAAGTGGCGCTGTGGCTTAAGTGGTAGAGCACTAGCCTTAAGCTGAAGAGCTGAGGGACAGCGCCCAGGCCCAGAGTTCAGGCTCCATGACCAACAACAACAACAAAAAATAGTAATAATAGCAAAAGGTAATTCTGAATATTGACTATTATTCAGTTAGTCCACAAAGTAAGTCTAGGGTGAAGGTGAGATTAGCCTCACTTTACAGAGGAGGAAAACAAGGCCTCAAGTACTTAAATATTCTGACCAATGTCATGGAATTCACAGGTAGTCTCCAACTAGCCTGAATCCACAATCCCTTTAATCACTTTAACTATGCTATAGACAGTAATAAATAAAAGAAGCCAGGTGTTTGTGGCTCACATCTGTGGATCTGGCCTGGACAGAAAATTCCTAATACCCTTCTTAACAAAGAGCTGGGTGCATTGGCTTGTCCTAGCTAGCATGGGAAGCCTAAAGTAGGCAGATGGCTAATAGTGCTGGAGCAGGAAGGGAGACACTATCTCAAAATGTCCAGTGCAAAATGGGATGGAAGCCTGGCTCAGTGGTAAACCACCCACAAAGCTAGCTCAAGACCTTGAATTCAACCCAATTCAGCCTAAAATTAAGTAAGAATTTAAGAGAAGGTTTGTTTAGTTTTTGGAGTGCCAAGGATGAATGTAGGGTCTTACACATTGTAGGCAAACACCAAGGTATATCCTCAGCCCTATGGTTTGCTATTTAAGTACTATAATTTAGGAAATTAAGTACTACTACAGGGAAATTTTACATCATTTATTACAAAATAAAAAGGTTTAGACAAGTACTGGTGGCTCACATATATAATCCTAGCTACTTGAGAGGTTGAGATTCAGAGGATCACAGTTCAAAGCCAGCTCATAAAAGTATAACCAAGTTCATGACATTCTACAGCAACCAATAAACTAGGCATGGTGCCACACACCTATTATCCCAGCTTCAAGGGAAGCACACACCTGAGCAGTGATGTGTGCCTGTCATCCCTGGAAACACAGGCAAGCACTTTTAGGAAGACCAGTGCTCAGGCTTGATCAGAAGCACAAGTGGTAGACTTAATTCCAAGTATTGCCATCTGGCCTCCCTTCTCCCACCAAAAAAAAAAAAAAAAAAAAAGTCCAAAGCCCAAGCTGGGTGCGGGTGGCTCACCCCTATAATCCTAGCTACTCAGATGATATCTGAGGATCACAGTTTGAAGCCAGCCTGGGCAGGAAAGTCCACAAGACGCTTATCTCTAATTAATCACAGAAAAAGCTGGAAGTGGTAGAACGCTAGCCTTGAGCAAAAAGAACTCAGAGACAACACCCAGGCCCAGAGTTCAAGCTCCAGGATAGACCAAAAAGAAAAAAGCTCAGAAGACATTTTCCTTACCTCCCTGAATTTCTGAAGGTACAATTTCAGAGGCTCCACATAACTGTCGAAGCCTAAAGTGGACATGGCAAAAAGAATATCTTCCCCATTGATTGTCTTCCGCTTCTCTTGATGGCATCTTTCACTTGCTTCCGATGTTATAAAGCTGATGAATTCACTTACACATTCTTGAACACATTCTTTGGCATCTTTTGCAATCTGAGGAAAACAAAACCATCACCTTCTTGACATCTGCCAAAGTAAAAGGCTATCCCAAAGAGCACATCTTCCAGCTTGTAACAGTGAACTTTTAATCCCTTAAATATATGCTAATAACATTAACACAATGGGGGCTGACACAATTCCAACTCCCAGAATCAGAATCAGGGTAAGTAGTCAATGACAACAGAGGAGTTTCAACCATTGATAGGAAACAGATATAACTGCACTTAAGTAAGACTTGGGAAGGATGGATTTTTTTTTTCTTAACCACTTAAATTTGTTGAAAAGTTTGCCTCAAGAATTGTACACCTACCACCTCATTATAAAAACATTTTTCACTGGAGGGTCCGAGAGTGAAACCTACTGTGCCAAGCTGCAGAGCCACTTACACTCAAACTACTGGTGTTCTCCTCCATGCCTACTTTTTACACTGGGCCAAGTGAGCGTGATAGTCAAACTAAGGAATGCCAGCCAAATATATAATTTTAGCCACACTAAAAGAAAAACAAAACAAAACACCAAAAAAAATGGTAAATGAAGTTAAGGTTTTTGTTGGGCACTGGTGGCTCACATCTGTAATCTTTGCTACCGTATCTCCAAAAAAAGCTAAAAAGTTAGTGGTAATCAAGTGGTAGAGTGCCAGCCTTCAGCAAAAAAGCTAAGGGACAGAACACAGAGTTAATTGGAAGTCACTCTGCCCATCATTCAGCTTTCTTTCTACAGTCAACATGCCTAGGTACTTTGTGCTGCAGGAGAACCCGGAATTCAGGCCCCAGTACATATCCATTCAAACAAATCAAATTTCAGTTGTAGTCACATGTGGCTAGTGGCTTTGGTACTAAATAGTACAGGCCTAAACACTTTAAACCATATTCAAAACATGTACCTTTTTCTCTACAAATAAGCAAAACCTTTCTCCAACTGGAATGTACAGGCTTACTGATGTCTTTTCATAGTGTATTTATTTGCAAACCATATGACTTTCAAAACAGCATTTATAAAAATGATAGGAAAGGAAACTCAATATAATACAAAAGAGAATTTTAAACTCAAAGTGATGAATTTTAAAAAGACGAAACTCATAAAAAATGCCAGTTGAAATGTATGTTGACGCCTGTAATTGTTTACAAATACTAGGATTCTTTTTTTAAAAATTTTACTGTAATTATCTGTCCAATCTAACTTAATTTTGCCTATACAGTGAATTGCAACTTCAAATACCCAAACCTGGGAAGTTTGACAACTGTACCTACCTTAAAGAATATTCTTAATTCTATTTTATCTACTTCCAATGAAAAGAGATGGGGGGCTTACGAGGACAAAGCAGATCAGAAAACGGAACATTCTTTCATAACTAAGTAGGTTAGAAATAAGAAAGGCTGAACAATTGGAAATCAGTAGCTAACTACTGGTTCAAATGTGGATTCATGTAGTTTTATACATGCAACAAACCTAGTGAAATTCGCTCTACATTACCTTTCCTGTTTGAGGTATGGCATTTTTCATTATCCTAGCCACATTTGCAATGGGAAGATAGATATCTTGTTCTCTGAAACTTTCTTTTGAACCATTGGTATCTTCATGATCATTCATGCTGTCCTCAGTATCTAAAGAAATAAAGAAATTAGGCTTAAAGACTCATAATTCTTACTTCAACATAGAAAGGACTCTCTGAAATGATCTGCAGCTCATTTTCTACTGCTTTTGAGGGGTTGAGATGGCAAGTCTTTGCACAGCTCTCTCAGGGCTGTTCATTAATTCCCAATGCACTGCGTGCAGTCCCTTCATCTTCAGCCATGCCCACTGAAACCCTGCCCCCCCTCCAGCTGCAGACCTGAGGTAACAGCCCCTTACCTTAGCACCTTTAAAAGTGACCTTGCCTTTAATACAATACTACACTGCTTCTCTGTGCCTTTTCTCTGAAACATCTTATTTCTTCTTTTCACTTCTCATTTCCCTTATTAGATTTTTGATCTATGTTGCTAGGGGTCAGTTTTGTGTGTTCTATGGTTTGGTACAGCACCTTCCCTACAGTATTCATTGCCTTAGTTGTAAAGCTCAGACTATAACCTATAGCTCTTTGAATACTGCTAGATTAAGAGGTTGTATACATCTCTAAGGCCAAGTTTATATAAAGTTACTAAGTTCATATAAAATCCTATAAAAAAGGTAAAACTAGACTTGATTATTACTGACCCAGTTAGATTATTAACATAGTTTTCTAAACAAAGCTAATAGCAATGAGTAATTCAAATTTTCTTACAAAATCCAAAATTTAAATTAGATTTAAATATAACTGAAGCTTTCACAGGTACCAATAGTGACTATTATGACTAAGTACAGGACTTACAAGTTCACTTTTTACACATATTAAGGCATTTGCTGTTTAAAATGGTATCATCTAAACTAAATGAGTATCTACTTTAAGATGTATAGTAATCTAGTCACAATTCCTTATAGAACTCTGTCTTAATTTTTTAATCAAAATGTTGCAAATGCAAACTGCCATTCTAGTACCTGGTATAGTCTAACATTAATACTCAATGGGGGAAAAAAAGTTTGTTCTAAAAACAAGAAATATAAGCCAGGCAGGAGGCTGAGATCTAAGGATCACAGTTCAAAGCCAGCCCAGGCAGGAAAATCCCCATGAGACTCTTACCTCCAATAAACTACTCAAAAAAGCTGGAAGTGGCGCTGTGGTTCAAGTAGTAGAGCACTAGCCTTGAGCACAAAGAGGCTCAGGTCCAGTACCCAGGCCCTGAGCTTAAGCCCTAGGACTGGCAAAAAAAAAAAGAGAAAGAACTAGAAATATAATAGCAACTTAACTCACCCTTTGAGGAACTATTTACTGAATTAACTAAGAATTTCTCATGTGTAATATTTAAAATAGGAAGTCAGTGATAAGTCAGTACATATTTTTTTAAGTAAACTTTATAGTAGAAACCTCTTCTAGGACTCATACTATTTCTAATAAAAATTAGTTTGTAGATTTCAGTGAACTGTGACATGAAATTGCTAAATTTCCTGTATAAAGTGACCTAGAGAATTGTATGAATAAATGTCCACTTTCTAATTTGCTCCTATGCACACACTTGGTTCCAGTCACAGCTTTCTTACCGTCATGAGGCTGAATAACATAGTGACTTCCTCCAATATAGTCGGCAGAAATCCCAAGTTGAGAAGCATCTGTTGTAGAACTGTCGCCATCCATCTAGAAAGGAAGAAAGCTTTTCAGTGCTCAGGAAAAGCTGTACTAAAGCCAACAGATTCAGTGTTCATAAAACTTACAGGATGGGTCCTTGCATTTTTTCATAGCTTTAAAGGAATCATTTCTATTTCTCCACTTCAAACTTTTCAATAATTTGCCAACGAGTCAATCTTAAGTGACAAGCATAAAGCTAAAAATGAAACGATAACTAAAGAATGTACTACTTTCTTTCCAACTGCCTAATCCTCAAATGTATAGTACAGGCTACCCTGACTTTATAACCTCATTTATCCTGGGAATGCTAAGCAGAGCCAAAATAGGGTTCGTAGTTAATTTTTAAGACAAGGTCTAGCTAGGTAGTGCAGGCTGGCCTTGAGTTCATGATCTTCCCTGAGGGCTGGGGTGAAGGCAGGCACACTGGGCTTTCCATTTTAAATAAGTCTCTGATTATTCAATGGTCAAAAGTTAATTTTCACCAGCCGCTGGAAGCTCACACCTATAATCCTACCTACTCAGGAGGGTTGAGATCTGAGAATCATGGTTTGAAGCCAGCCTGGGCAGGAAAGTCTGTGAGACTCTTACCTCCAGTTAATCACGGAAAAGGCCGGAAGTGGCACTTTGGCTCAAGTGGTAGAATGCTAGCCTTGAGCAAATGGAGCTCAAGGACAGTGCCCAGGCCCAGAGTACAAGCCCCAAAACGGGCAAAAAATAATTTTTTCTTTTCCCCCATAAATGTTCAGTTCTTTAAAGACAAAAGGAAAAGAAGCATCTGGGAACCCATATATAAAGAAAAAAATATAACCATAGACAAGAATGAGAGTTACTATGACTGTTTGCTTGTCTGTGGTGGTCCTGGGGTTTGAATTCAGGGTCTTACACTTGCTAGGAGGTGCTCTACCACTGAACCATGCCTCTACTCCTTTTTATAAAGATGTTAAAAGAAGTTTACTTGATTAATTTAAGTGCTAAAAGAATTCCATGAAGGAAAATCTGGAAAAAGTGAACCATAAGCTTTGAACTGGCTCTATTCCATTACATTAGCAGCAGACAGATCCTGGAAGGCATCTGCTTTGCAAATACTACTACTCGAAACAATATGCAACTAGTTCCTTGTGAGAAGAAGTTAAAACATGCATTTCCTGAATAAAAAATATAGCAGAGATGAAGTACAAATTATACCTGCTTTCGGGCCAAACAAGAGATGTCTGACTCTGAATGTTTATTAAAGCCTAGAACATATCACAGGGTTTTTATTATTAATAGCAATATTTCAGTCCTTGTATAACACAAGTCTTCTCCATCTTGGCTGGATTTTTATCTAATTCTCAAAGTACTGGGCTAGTTTCCAAGTTTTCAATAACCTGACACTTCTCTCAAGCATCTGTTGATTTTGATAGCTAATTGAAGATATAGATACATTCCTGTCTCTTAGCTAGCTGTTTTGAGGGGGTAGAAAAATAGAAATTAAGCCAGGCACTGGTGGCTCAAGCCTGTAATCCTAGCTACTCAGGAGGCTGAGATCTGAAGATCACAGTTCAAAGCCAGCCTGGGCAGGGAAGTTCCTAAGACTCTTATCTCCAATAAACCACTAGAAAACCAGAAATGGCGCTGTAGCTCAAGCGGCAGAGCCCTCGCCTTTAGCTAAAGAGCGCAAGGACAGCGCCCAAGCCCAGAGTTCAAGCCCCACGACCAACCAAAAAAAAATAGAAATTACATGCCTTTAACAATTTATAAAAGCACAGGGAACTTATGTGTTCAGTGACTTTGTAGTGGCCTGGCAGAGGTTAACAAATCAGTAAGTTGACTCTGATTCTCTATTAACTCTCTGCAAACAAGCATCCCTACCCTCACCATCTCCAAAGAAAGCTGTAATCTTAAACTAATACAGCTGAATGCAAATCATTGCCCAGACATAAAGTGTACTTTTTGATCCTGAAAGGTTAAAAAGGCCCTGAGACTGCAGCCTTACATGCACACAGTGGTGGACGTACTCGCCACCAAGGAATAGTCCGTGAAGATGGCTAAGCACTCATCTTTACAGTGACCGAAGGAGAGTTCAGGTTCAGGAGATGGGACAGAAGTGTTTCAGAACCTACAACTAGAAACAAATCTTTTTCCTGGGGGGAGAAAAGCCAATACAGAAATTCTTTGATAAATGAGTGTCTACAGGATATCCTTCTTTTAAAAATTAGCTGATGAACAAGGCACTGTTCAAATAATCAGGTGGATTCAGGAGATTAACTCCTGAATTAACATAAAATGTGATACAAAGATGCTAAGACAAAATCATACATTACCAGCAAGATTACTGTTTGATTAATATCAGTAGCTCCTTGTAAACCTGAAGGTATTTCAGAATTGTCAGAATTAAATGACAAGTAAAAGGCTGCTAAGACAGTGCTTGACGTTCTGTGTACCCCACTCTCCCTATCATTCTCCTCTGAAGTTGCCTATCTCTTGCTTAAGTCTTAGGTCTCTCTGTTCTCCAAGTTTTAGCTCTTCTGTCACTTCACACCTTCTGTTCCTTTCCTCTATCTTTCTACAATCAACTCTCACACAGATTTTAAGACCAACATTCCCACCCCCCCCCATATCCTGCTGGAATCTTTTCCCTATTCTACAATTCAAAAATGACTGTTGACTTCTTGAAGTCTCATGGCACTAAAAAATTTATTCCACAAACCAGCCTAACCTTTGACTCATATACTATGCTAGCCATAAGGAATGGTGGGAAAAACCTGTTCGATCCATTTTAAAGGTTTTTCTTTCTAGGTCTGTTTAACATCTTGTACAAAAATTTGTGAAACAGAAAATACCTTTTCCTAAGTGGATATTTAGTATTTAACAGGTCCATGTCAATAAAGTAGATAAGACCTGTGCTGTCATCATGCAGAAGAAAAATAAATGTTACATAACCTGGGAAACAGGGTGAGGGGGCAGAGAGTGCTGTCTACTGGTGCTCACAGGACAGGGCTCTGGAATCCAATTGCTTGGTTTGAATTTCCTACTGCTTTTTGGTCATGAGACATTAAAAAGGACTTAATCTCACAGGGCTTCTTTATAGGGTAAGAAATAATCCAAGTAAACACTAGGTATATATTATACATAGCTATTAAGTAATTACAAATAGATTAACTGGACTGGAGAACCCATGCAATGTTACAGTAGGAAACAACATTTTAAGTGAGACTGAAAAATGAACACAAGTAAGGGGGGGAAAGGATGAAAACAATGTTCCAGACAGAGGGGACAGGGGAATATAGTACCAGGACTAGCACAAACTAAATGGCGACCACATCAGGCGATGCCTTGTAGACAAGAGCAAATCAAGAGAAACTTTAGGTAAGGAATACAAACCAGATTTGTGTGTGCTGGTCCTGGGGCTTGAAATCAGAGCCTAGGCACAGTGCCTGAGCCTTTGTATCTTAGGCTAGTGGTCTACCACTTGAACCATGGCTCCACTTCCAGCTTTTTTGATGGTTAGCTGGAGGTAAGAGTCTCATGGACTTTCTTGCCCATGATCCTCAGATTTCAGCCTCCTCAGTACCTAGGATTACAGGAATGAGTCACTGATGCCCAGCTAGATTTTTTAATTACTTCAACCAATACCGAATTCTATTTAGGGCAGAGAATGACCTGGAGGGGAGCAGGAACAGAGGCAGAAGACTGGCAGGATTTAGAACACTACTGTTAAGGACATGAATTCAGGCAAGGTGATCATTGTTGCAGCATCTGCTCTGGTGCTATAGCTCTGGAAATCATGAGAACCAGTGAGAGTAGAAAGCTTTTTTTTTTTTTTTTTTTGGGTCCGGTGGTGGGTCTGAACTCTGGGCCTGGGCGCTGTCCCTCAGCTCTTCAGCTCAAGGCTAGCGCTCTACCACTTGAGCCACAGCGCCACTTCTGGCTTTTTTCTTTTTGCTTATGTGGTGCTGAGGAATCAAACCCAGGGCCTCCTCAAGGCTAGCGCTCTACCACTTGAGCCACAGCGCCACTTCTGGCTTTTTTCTTTTTGCTTATGTGGTGCTGAGGAATCAAACCCAGGGCCTCGAGCATGCAAGGCAAGTGCTCTACCACTGAGCCACCTTCCCAGCCCCAGTAGAAAGCTTTTTAAGAGGTTAGATCAATAAGACTTAGTGCCTGGCTAGCTAAAAGCCCCAGGAAGGATCAAGGATAATACTGGTATTCTCTCTTGGGGAGAAACAGATTAACTGTCACTGCAGACAACAGGAAAGTAACAGAAGTATTGGGCAACAGAGGACACAACTAACATTGGTGACCATGAACCTACAAAGGTACTGATTGATTTAGTTGTGACACCTATAGGTCTGGTGTCAGAACAGAGAGGCTGAAGTGTTGGATTACATCCAGGCAACAAAGGAGAAGAGAAGGTAAGAGAAAAAGGTTCAGGTGAAGGGGAACTGGTAAGCATGGACAAATGCAGGTAAATCTCATTAAATTAATTCAAATGGCAGGACTACTTCAGGTCAGATGAACTGATGGCACTGTTCTCTAAAAGGTTATAGGGAATAAATGGCCAGCTGGCTAATGCAAGTATTAAACACAAGTATTTTAAACTATGCTAGTAATTTGTTGTGCTTATGTACAATGCTGTTCTCTTTAATGTGTCTACATTTATTGGACAATTCCTAAATTTCTCATGACCTGGTGCAGAAAATAAGAAAACTGGAGCATAGAGGTTTTATAGAGTAAGTGGTGCTGAAATCTTGCACTTGTTGGTGAGTACTTCACAGAACACCTTCCTGGTAGTTTTCCCTGTAGTTCTCTAGCTGAATTTGCCCCCTCTAAGATCTAAAAGCACCACGAGTCTTGTCTCAAACAAGCCCAACACACTCAGCACTGCAGTTAGAAATGCTGGCTCTGAAACGTGGCTCCACATACTGGTTATGTCTGTGAAAAAGTAGCAGCTTTGTTGGGTTTCATCAGCTTCCTCATTTTTGAAATGAAGAAAGAATGTAAGAAGTTATTGTATAGGAAACACTTAGTGATGTACGTAACACACAGTGATGACAACTCACTCAGCACATTAGCTCAGTCCTTCCAACAGTTTTGGTTCTTTTCAAGCACAGTTGTTTTTTTTTTTTTTCCCTCTCTCACACAACTTACGCTTTTACATCTCTCTAGATCACATTTCTTTTATGTCTTTGAGGATAAGAAATCATAGATTCCTGACCTGGAAATGTGGCAGAGTGCTTGCCTAGCACGCATAAAGCCCTGGGTTCAATTCCTCAGTATCACATAAACAGAAAAAGCTGGAAGTGGTGCTGTGGCTCAAGTAGTAGAATGCTAGCCTTGAGGAAAAAGACTTCAGGGACAGTGCCTAGGCCCTGAGTTCAAGCCCAGGACTGGCCAAAAAAAACAAAGAGAAAGTTATCATACACTCCTTATCTCTAATGTATCTGTACTCTCCCTTAAGCAAGCTTAGTTTTCTCATTACACATGTAGCAGTGCATGTACATATTTAAAACCTTTCTACCACACACCCTGTGTGGCTAACCATTTCCACTGTGACCCAATCTTCACACACCTCTCCTTCCCATTTAAACTCTGATACCTTTCAATTCTATCCTGACACTGAGACCACACTACAAGGTGCCAACAATCTTTGTAGTGTGGCCAGCTACTGCTAGCCCCACATCTGTGCTTCAAGTCCTCTTTTCCTCTGACTTCCAAAGCAATCATCTTGCCTGGCCTATTCTCTTCCCTATCCTATAATTGTTTGTTTCAATCTACTGTTGTTTTTGCTTTCTTCCATTACACTGTTAATGAGCTCATTAAATATCACCTCTAAACTCATAAATACCACATCTACCACCACTATGTTGCCAGCCACATAAGCCACTATCACTGCACACTTCAGCTACTGGAAAGTAAAATTCACTGGGTATCCCTGAAGTAGGCGAGGGAAACCTTGTTTGCACTGATGCAGCCCCCACCCTCTACTCTTCAAGAAGGGAGGGATTAGGTCATTCTCCAGGCTCCACCACAGGCTCTACCTCTTGGAAAACGACCCTTCCTTTTCTACTGGATTACCACTAGCCCAGCTGAATTTACTATGTTAAGACAAAGCCACTCACGGCAACACTACCTTACCAATTCTGGAAGCTATTCTACTGGTTCCTGAAGGACTTTTGCATTAAATTCAATCCTTAATTCTCACAGCTTTAAGAAACAACTTCTGGGGCTGGGAAGGTGGCTCAGTGGTAGAGCACTTGCCTTACATGCATGAGGCCCTGGGTTCCATTTCTCAGCACCACATAAGCAAAAAGAAAAAAGCCAGAAGTGGCGCTGTGGCTCTTCAGCCTTGAGCTGAAGAGCTGAGGGACAGCGCCCAGACCCAGAGTTCAGGCCCAATGACCGGACCCAAAAAAAAAAGAAAGAAACAACTTGTTTCTAACTCTTCTCTGTCGACTAGAATGTACCCTACAATTAGAATTACCTTTGTAGGGATCACCTGTGGAGATCTTTCAAGAGTGAAGCAATCACAGAAATTGTGACATGCCTGAGGTCACAGCTAGAGTGGAAGAGTCAGAACTAAATATCCAGCTGGGCCATGTGGTATCACTTCTCTTTATTGAGAAATGTCAGTATGAACAAAATCCCTCTAACTCGAAGCTCTAACCCAAAGTGACTAACTCAACTCCAGGCCAAAGCTTTGGGATGACGCCCTCCACTAATCCAAATCCTACCCAGCCTTTAGACTGCTGAGGCTCACCAGCTCCCTCCTCTCCTCTCCTTTTCCCTTGTGCATAAGTTTGACTTAAGACCCCACCAGCTCTATAGCCAGCCTGGGACAGGCTTTTTATCTTGTGACCTCAGCAGTCTTTAGATTCCCACAAACCAGTTAAGTGTGCAGGTAACTAAGAGTGAGGAATGAGTGGAGGGATTTGTCTAAACTGAAGGACATTCCTGTTATCAGCATCTCCAGTGCATCAGCTATCATTTTGTTTCCAGCCAATTACTCTTTGTATCAAATTAAAAATGGTAAAACATACTTACGGTAATGAAATACTGTCAGAACAGTGTTGTCAGTGGCACTTAACAACTGTCTAAAAACGTGTCTCAACCTAAAAAATAAACATCTATTAATAAAATGTAGAACCAATAACCTTTCTTTTCAGTAAATTTATTATCGCCAATCATCATGGGCTTTGAACTCAGAGTCTGGGTCCTGTCCCTAAGCTTCTTTTACTCAAGGCTAGCACTTCTTACCACTTGAGCCATAGTTCCACTTAAGGCTTTTTGGTGGTTAATTGGAGATAAAGCCTATCACAGACTTTCCTGCCCTGGCTGGCTTTGAACGGCAATACTCAGATCTTAGCCTCCTGAGTAGCTAGGATTATAAAAGTGAGCTACCAGCACCAGCTCTAGTAAATTTATTAAAGGGGACACAATTTACTGTCTAGCCTTAGTCAATGGAATGTAAAAAACAGGCACCCAAAGTTTGAAGTGGAAGATTTATTTGGAGAACTTACAAAAAAAGTTAATTTCATGGAGAATGAGAAAACTGCTTTCCCAACATAACCATGAATTTATTTCATCATAAAAAGGTCCACCATAAGACATGATGAAAAGTTTATCACAGAAACAAATTACTAGACTGAAATTACTTGAAACATTAACACCCAAGGCACAAACACCCCCACTATCAACCTAATTTTTGAGGTTATTTCTCCTAATGGTTTTCAAAGTGAAAGTCAGACCCAAAAAAAGGAATAAAAATTTCTCTTTTAAATTGAATAACTTATGCTGGAAAGAAGACACATGATGCTTACCAAAACAAAACCCCACAATCTATTTTCTCTTTTTTGTAATTTTGACTAACATTACACTTCAGTCTCACTACAAGGTACAGATGATTACTAGTTACAATACTAGTACTAGTTACAATACTACATCCTTTATTTTTTATTTTTATTGAGGCAGGGTCTCACTTTGAAGCTCAAACTGGCCTGGAACTTGGAAACCTCCTTCGTCAGCCTCCGCAGTGCTGGGGATTAGAAATGTAGACCACAAGGGCCTACCAGTCTTCATTTGTCCTATGTACTTTTCCTTTTCTCAAGTTAAAAAAAAAATAGAGAGGAATGGGGAGAGTGATTCGAAAACACATCCTTTCAGCGTTAATTTTACAAGAAGTAAGGGTTTACATTCAAGCATAAATAGCAGGGGAAAAAATTATAGCCTTTGAACTAAAACTTTAAAATGCCATTAAGGGTCCAGGCAGCAAAGACGGCCTGACATCAGCTATAATCTTAAAAGTAATTGCTTAGGTTTCTGAATCATTGCTAAATCCCAACTACCCAGAAAAATTGCTTCCTCGCACCTCAAAAAAAAAAAAAGTTAGGGCAGCTTTGGGGGGGGGGGGAATCTCACAACACGTCATAGGGACGTGTTTATTTGTTTACCTATTCATTTACCCCGCTTAGAAGGGCAGGGGTGAGAGGTGCGAGCCGTCCTGCACAATCCCCCGTTATCTGACTACATTCAACATGGAAAACACAAAACTACCCGCAGCCTCCTCCCGTGGTGTGCCTTTCTTACACGCGGAGTACACGCACACGCCCGGGGGAAGGCACACATCTGCTTCGGGTTTGAGACACGCAAATGCGCATCCAAAGAGCGGTGAAGCCCCTGCTCCAGCCTCCCTGGCTCGGCACCGACCCGCAGCGCTCCGGCCGGGCATCGCCTTCCCCGAGGCTGCGAGCGAGCGGCCGCCGGCAGCAGCTCACCGCCCTGCCAGGGACTCGGGGGCAGCTCGCCGCACTTTCAACACCCGAACCCCTGTTCGTGGATGCCACTGGCCCACGGATCCGTTGGCCTCCTCCTCGGAGGTGGCGGCCGGCCGGGGAGCCGGGGCCGCCCGGGTGCGGGTGACACCAGCGAGGACCACGCGGAGGGGCGGGATGCCATTTTTAAAAAGGCCGCCCGCTACCCCACCCGGACTGCGGGGTCCGGAGACGGCGCTCGGGCGAGCCTCCCTCCGAGGGTGCTCTGCCTCTTAATTCTTTGTTCTCGGAGACCGCAGCTCCCCCCCCCACCGCCTCCCGCCGGCGACGACCCCCGAGGCTTTGCCCCCCGCGTCCCACCTTCGGGGCGAGTCGCGGGGCCGCCAGATGGCTGCATGTCTCAACGCGCGGCCCGGACGGCGGGGCAGCCGGAGCGGCTCCTTCCACCCTCCCCA